TTCTTCTTCCTCACTGTCCGCCTGTTTTGCATATTGAAAATGATCCCCTACAGATTCCCAAGTCTGTTCTTTAGGAAAGAGCGTCCAAAGGGCAGTGATCACATTTTCCAACCCTAAGTCCTGAAGCACGTGTTCTACCAACCAGATTTCACTTCCTCTGTAACCAGAGCTACAGCTGTAAAGACGGCTCCTCAGATCTCGTGCTGCATGGTCAAGTAGGCTCAGAGATGACCAGAAGGACACTGACAATTGCAATTTCCCGGCCTCCTCGAGACGTGGCCCAGCATCTCCTCTGCGCTTCTCTTCCTTCCAGAGGCTTCACTTCCTTCCAGATTTTCACCCCTGGAACCAGACAGGTGCGGCTCTATCTTGAGTCCTGTGACCTGGCCCTTCCTCTTGCCTGGTGTCTCCTCTCTAGACCTGGGCAAGCGGCCTTCTCCTTGTCACCCACGTGTGCAAATGTCACCTCGTCACAAGACTGTGCTCCACAGCTTCCCCTGCTCCAGTGCCCCCAGTTCTGTCACTGTGTTTCGTTTTCAACCCAATGGGAGTGGTGCTTAAGGTCCACTCTCCCTGCTGCAGTTATTGGGCAGCTTGTCTGTCCCAGAACCCAGCAGCTAACCCAAAGCCCGGACAGGGCAGCGGTGCACAATGAACAGAGGGTCACGCAGGCGATCGTTGTCCCTTGGCCACAGGCTGTTTCTCCATTGTGTGTCGAAGCCTCCCTGGGCAGAGCAGAGAGACACTCACTCTCATAAGCCCACTTTTGTAGAGGGGAGGGAACCAAGGGCCGGGGAGGAGATGCGTCCCATGCATGTGTACTGCAAGTGGGCACCAATCAAAAAATAAAAGAAAGTGAGTAGATGATCTGAAGAGTTGGCACAAGGTAACTGAAATCTCTTTTATCACTTTTAGTTTAGGGGACCTGGACCTTTGGGGGTCTTACGGTTTTTTTGGTGTATTTCTTTTTGTCAGTGCATGTTTGTGATACCTGGTGGGTGTATTCACCTACCGCGGACACACCAAATCTCGGTCCATTTTGTTTCCCTTCCCCGCCTCCTCCTTCCTCTTCCCCTCTGTTTTTGAATTCCCCCTCTCATCTGCAACGACCTTATGTTTTTCTATCCCTGTATTAATTATGGAGATTTTAAGTTGCCTTTTACATGATGGTTTGTGATCTTAAACATGTACTTTTAAATATTCTTTGTAGTATGTGATATTTACTTAAATTGTATTTTTTTCTGTCTATGAGGAATCTTGGCTGACTTTCAATGTCCAGTAAGACTATATGAAGATTTATTTGATAATCTGTCAAATCAAGAGAACCCTCTCAAGGTTGCCCTTGAGAACTGGAAACTGTAATTAAAAATCAAATAAGTGTGCACTATTAACCAAAAAATCTTAAAAATATTTGAGTAGTGGAAATGCTAACTGCCCTGGTTTGATCATTATATATTGTATATTCATTTTACTTAGCAGTGTTTTGGCATACTGTACTCCATATATATTCAGAATTAAAATTATAACAATAAAAAACAAAACCAAAAGAAAACTTAAGCCCACGCAAATATCTGTAAGAAAGTGTGCATCCCACAGAAGGATCCTGGTGTGGGTTGGGTGGGAAACAGAAGTCAACTTCAGGACAGAACCGGGTTCAGAGGTCAGTCTGGTGACAGAGAGCTGCAGGTGTGCTTCCTGGAGTGCAGTGCTAAAGCTGGACTGAGAATTGGGCCTTGGGCTTCAAAAGCCACACCAGAAAGATGTGTGATATTTTATGTGGTCATGAGTGTTGGTCTTGAGCCACCATGTGTAAAATGAGGAAGATTCAAGTTCCTTTACTTCTTTCCAGTGACCATTCTTAAAAGGGGAGCTCTATGTGGTCTGGGACAGCTTGGAAATGCCAACAGCTCAGCCTCCAGCTTGGTGCTATGGGGTGTGTGTGTGCGTGCATGTATGTGTTGCAAGAGGCGGGGCTTCATGGGAGGCCTTCAGGCCCCTGGGTTACACCCTTCAAAGCAATAGTGTGCCCCAGCCTCTTCCCCTTTCTCTCTTTTCCTTCCTGGCTGTGAGGTGAACTCCACCATATGCTTTCTCCAAGAAGTATGCCCTAAATAACAAGGCCAATCTGTCACGGAGCAGAAGTTCTAAAGCCATGGGCCTACATCAACCTTTTCACTGTCTAGGTTGATTATCTCAGGTGTTTGCTATCGAGATGGAAAGCTAACACAGCGCCCACAGGGGAAAGAGAACCATCAGTCCTAACTGTGACTGTGATGAAACTGCAGTATTCCCACCCAGAACTAAGAAATGAGGTCAACAAGGCTCACCTCCAAGAGTCAGCATGAATAGTCAGAGAGCTGTCGGATACGCAGAGCCTCAGACAGGTAAGAAGGGCTTCCAAGCTCACAAGACCGCAGGTCACCACTAGACTCAAAGCGAGAACATTTCTAAAGGAAAAAGTGTCCAGTAGAGGGGGGCTGGTGTTCTCCATCCTTGGACAGTGTGGGCTGAGGAGGAGGGCCAGCCCCATTTGCTTCCCAGGGGAAAGGCCAGGCTGGGGTACACAGGCACACAGGGCCACAAGCAAACCGGATTTTCAAGAGCCAGCAGGATCACGGTTGAGGGTCCAGACTCTTGGTAGCTGGTTTCAAATCCCGGCTCTGTCACTCGCTAATTACACAACCCAAGTGTGTTATTAAACCTGCTCCTTAGGGGCTGGGGATATAGCTCAGAGGTACAAGCGCCTGCCTGGCAAGTACAAGGGCTTGAGTTCGATTCCTGGTACAAAAAAAAAAAAAAAACCAAACCTGCTCTGTCCCTATGGGACTGGAGTGATGACCACGGCTAGCACCCCTGAGACTCACAGGAGCATTAGGTCAGCGTGTGCCAAGTGCTCAGAACAGGCTGCAGTCACAGTGCCACCGGCGCTCTGGCCAACGCCCAAGCCCCGGCCTGACGATCGCCAGAACGCGTCTCCCCTCTCTCTGATGCAACGCCTGCCTTCCATGTGTGTTTGCTCACGCAGGAAGAATGTGCTTAGTACAGAGATTCTGAGACAGTCCCTCCGGCAGCCTGCAGATGCTCATGGCAAATCAATAAATTACCTGCGGTCGTGTCTGGTCTCCCACACTACCGGGCTGGGAAGGCCGGGGGCAGGCATGCCGCTGGGGGGGGGGAATTTCAGGCCCAGGGCGGACTGGTTTTGATTTCTAAATCTTCTCACTGGCATTCTGGTGCCACTCTCAGCGTGGGCATGGGCTCAGGGTTGGAATGCTCACGCCCAGGCTCCAGTTTCACCCTAGAGGGACTGGGAGAGCCCTTCGTGCCCTTGCAGAGGGCCGGGCCTAGCTGGCTTCGCTTCCCAGCGCCCTGCCCAATCCTGCACATGCAAGGACCGAAGAGCCCCTGGGGCTGCTGTCCCTGCTGGGAGCACCCTGGCATTGAGAATAAAGAGCTTTGAGAAAACTGATGGGTTAAAAAATGCCACCAAGCGGAGAGCCGAATGCAGATGCATTCATCCCAGGGCTCCTGACAGAAAAATGTCCCGAGTGGTCACCGCCTCCTGCAGCCCCACGCTGCAGGGGTTCGTGCGAGTTATCATCCTGAGGGCAAGTGTAGGCCACGCCGGAAGGCTGGAGACTTCGGGGTAGCACACCTCGGAGGGGAGACTCCCGTGTTCGAGGGGGTTTCTTCCTCCACCTGGCCAGGTTAAATTCACCTCAGGAATGAGCAGATTGGGAAGACGGTGGAAAGGAGAGGTCAGGGAGGAGCTCCTGTCACCTAGCCAGGACCGTGGGAGCTGCCCAGGTCGCGGGGAACCTCACAGGCTCAAGCGCAGGGGGCCTCTGGGACATCCAGCTATCCTGGGGTACAGTGGCATTTCCGGATCACCCCGGGAAGGCAACCAAGAAAGACGGTAATACTGTTCCCTGGGGAAAGTGCAGCTCGAGATGCAAATAACCAGCTTGGCAGGAACTTTGCGAAGCAGTCCTGGGTTCTTAAATGGGGGACTTCCCTGTGGAATCTGGGGTCCCCAGAGAGCTCCCTGGGAGTAATGTGTGCCTGGGGCTCGAGGCGGGCAGTGACCTGTTGAAATCTTGAGGCCCAGAAATCTGTCCCCAGCCGGTGTGAATTTCGGGACAGATTTAGGGCGTTCAGGGGTTTGCAGCCGCTTCATTTCGGGTTCACTGTTTGGGTTTCGGGTCCCAGGCCACCTCCCCCGCTGGGGTCCCGGTCAGCAGCTGGTTCTCCCGGGACAGGGCCACCGGGTGTGTGGGAGGCCCGGTCCAGGGGGACAGGAGGGCGTCGGGGCGCGACACGCACACCGCAGGAGGCGAGGTGCGAGAGGAGCGCGGCGGGGACCCGGGCGGAGCAGGTGAGGGCCGGGGGCGCCGGCTGCCCGAGTCCCCGCCCTGCCCCGCGCGCCGCCTCCTCCTCCGACCCTCCCGCGCTGCGCCGCTCCCGCGGCTGGGGTTTTGCAATGTAGCAGCTGCCTTTATTTTGTCCCCTCCCCTGTGTCGGCCTCGCCCGCTCGCAGGTCGCTCCACCCCGCCCGGATCCGGCGAGGGGACCGCGCGGCTGCAGCGCCGGCGCGCGGTGCG